CATCACTGAGCGATCAGAACTCGCGACAGGGGAAGCAAATACAGACATCACACGACGTAGCTTTAGGTAGCAAAACACGGAGATATGCTCACCTTTTGCAGAATAACAATTCTGATCAAAAACGAGAAAAACGCAGCTGAAGGTTAATCCATAGGTTAATCCAATGTGTCTGTCACTTTGAAAAATGATTGATGATCCATAATTCCATTTTTATGTCAAAAATTGAGTTTTCATTAGCTGCTAATGGTAGCTTCCAGAGTGTATGACAGCTTCCTGTTTTGTCTCCTTGGATACGAGTCCAAATAACTCACAGACTGCACCGGGTGCTCACGTAGGAGCCCTGTGACCATCAGATTTGACGACGCTGATTGGCTGAAACTATGTTTCGGCGGCATAGTTTAAAGATAGCAACAGTTGGCTTCTGCTGCACTTGCTGCCCTCTCGTCTGGGCGCTGTGCATAGCGCCCAGACGAGAGGGAGTAATGATACACGGGCAAGGCCAGGCAGGAAACATGTGACTTATCAGTAACTTTAGACATCGTAACCAGTGGCGAGCCGTCAGGGCCCTCTAGGCCCTCTGTGAGGGCCTAAGATATTCAAAAAATATATATTTAAAAACATTAAAAAAAAATATTTTTTTTAAAAATATATATTTTTTTAATATTATTTTTGTTATATTTTTCATTAGTTTTACCGAAAAAAAACTTGATTTAATAAAATAACATTTCCAAAGAAATAAATACTTCGAATCTGCCTGTTCAGTCTCTGTTTGAATGTGAAGGGTTACATGAAAGAAGCTCGTCTGGCCCTCTCTGCGATTCACAGAGGGCCCGCTATAGAGTGGCGAAGTCACGCCCACCTACTTCCAGGTAATGGGACCTTATTTCGGAAAAATTATGCATTGAAGTCAATGGGGAGAGAAAACGTATCTTTCGATCCCGTTAGAATTGTGCCATGAATTACACATATGATGTTTGTCAATCTTAAAAAATTATTTCCATGTCAAAAAAGTCACAGTTTGTCGTAAAACTGTTGAAATATAAGACTATGAAAAATACGTAACTAGAAAGACTACAAATCCCAGAGTCGCGTAAGTGATGTCACAATTGTTTTCCTCCACCATTCAGATACCTAAGATCAGCGCAATATAGATATAATCTATCTATATGGCGCTGGCTAAGATAAGATAACTTTAACAAGATGCCTGTGTGCTTAGTACCAGGTTGTTATTATACCAGCAATGGGTCTTGCTCGTTCTTTTGCTTCCCGTCTGATGAAAGGACCAGGAGTGGCTTGATCAAGTTAGCTACCTAGCTAGTAGCTAGCATGTTAGTTAGCATTACAGCCTTGTCATTTTTATTAGCCTTAACATGAAGTAACATTAAGTAACCCAAAATGTTAAACAGTAAGAGTAGTAGTCATATTTCGTGAACCCTTTGAATAGTACTGTCACCGGTGTGATCATTCTATAATACACCATTTAAGCCCGGGGGAGAAATGCTAACGCTAACGTTAGCATCGGCGATCTTCTCTACTTCATGCTATCTGCACAAATGGTTGACATTAAACATTAAAACGACCAGGCAGTTCAGAGAGAATCAAAGGAAGGCAGGCAGGCAGCTTTGCATGACATTCTTCAGGACGTGTTTCATTGTGGTGATAGTGAGGATAGTCAATCGTTTTGTTGACAAGACAGTAGTGACGGCCATCTTGGTGACGTGTGTTGTTGACCAGAGATGTAGTTCATTGAGCGTTTCACACAAACAAATGTGTTACTTCACAGTTTTACGACCCTTTTTTTCTTTTTTTGACTTGCAAAATTATCTTTTAAATTGACAAACATCATATGTGTAATTCGTGGCACAATTCAAACGGGATCGAAAGATAATCTTTCTCTCTCCATTGACTTCAACACATAATTTTTCTCGAAATAAGGTCCCATGGAGGTCCACCGGAAGGGGAGGGACTTCGCCACTCTATAGTAACTGAACAAGAGAGTAATGTCAAATGACAGTACAATTGACCAATCATATCTTCCCTCCAAATGGGTGGGTTTTATTATCGCGGACTTTATGACAAGTTCCGCCCGCTGTGAAACTTTTCTTGTTTCCATAGCAACAACAACTTCCTGTCAACAGCGTGAACTCGCCTTCAAAATAAAAGCATGCCAAATTACACTTAAGACATACAACTGCAACGAAAGTAACAAACACAATGCAATATCATTTTCAATGTCAAAGAACACAAATTGGGTTCACAGGTGTTGTTTTGTGTGGTAGAGGGTCGCTGTCATTGATGCGTTTTGCACCCTGGGCCGTTGTTTTGATATTCCGCTGAAGTATACGCTGTGACGTAATAACTCTTTTTTTTTCTTTTTTTCGAGGGAAGGGGTGGGGGTCAGAGGGCCTAGGTATAAAGCTCACGGCTCGCCACTGATCGTAACACAATTTTAAACGAGATTTTATTGTAGATTATACATTTTACTGATACCAATTATATAATATTTACCTTGTTTATTAAAAATAAAAATAAAAATAAAAAAAATATTTTTTAAATATATATTTTTTTATTTTTTTTATTTTTAATGTGGGAAGAGGGGGGGCGGCGGCCGGCCGCCACTGCAAACGACCTATTTTGGATTCAAAACGGCGAATTTCGCCGAAAGGTGACAAGTTTGCATCCCTGAAAACCCAGTTAGATTAACATTCATTGGATTGCACACTTACTGTAGTTTGTTTGTGTGGATATGTAGCAAATTAACATTTTAAATAGCACTTAATGACTGACTGAATGGAAATGACAATAAATGAAAATGTAAAACGAAAAAAGCGATCATGAAAATGTTTCCAATAAATGAATAAAATGATTTTTGACCACTTTGTTGTTCAGATATATCACATATTTGTAACTGAATGATGCATTAATTGAAACAAAACACTGTATGAACTGAGGAGTGACTCCCGTGAGTTTCATGTGTTTTCTTCACTCCGCTGGGAAACTGCTCTCATGTCAAGAAGCAACAGATCAGTGCATGCGCTGCATCGTCCAATCAGTGAGCGATACACAGTAAGGGGGCGGGGTGAGTGTCTGAGGATTTCATCGAAGGATGGTCTGGTGGTTCCTCGATTATAGCTCCTCCGTTATCGCTCCTCGCTCCTCGCTCCTCGCTCCTCGCTCCTCCGGCAAAAATAAGGCCAGTGGGACGCTACTCAAGATGGCGCAGACAAATCAACTTCCGGTGAGACCGAGACCGAGGAGCGAGGAAATGAAAAATAAGAGAAGTGAAACGCAGCCCTTGGTGGGACTTTGTTGTTCTTCTTCTCGGGAGCAGGGAGGCACTTCTGTCAGCTAATGCATGAGTGACAGGTTCCATACTACTTCCGGGAGAAGTTTTTCAAAAATAAAACATGAGAATAACTGACATAGCAGGGAATTGTAAAAACGATTATTTCAGCCAATCAGAGGCGGAAGAAGTACTCAGATCTTGTAATTGAGTAAAAGTAGAAGAACCACAGTGTATAAATACTCTGTTAGAAGTAAAAGTCCTGCATTTGTACTTTTACTCCACTACAAGTAAATGGTGTATTATTCTGAAATGGTGGACTTTTACTGTAACAGATTATTCCTACACTCTGGGACTGGTACTTCTGATTTTACTTAAAGGGGACCTATCATGCAAAATGCACTTTTGTACGTCTTTTATACATGAATATGTGTCCCCGGTGTTCCAGGGAACTCACCAAGTGTCAGAAAACACAACCCTCTCTATTTTCCTCCATACCCAAATCTCTAAAAAAGGGGCTGCAACGGATCTGATAAAAACTGATCCAGATTTGAACACTGTCCTGACGTCAGGACAGTGGCGCTACGGCTATTGGGCCAACTCCACCAATCAGGAGGAGACAGCCACGGCCATTGCCGTTCGAAAGCGCTGGAGACGCTGTAGTACATATGCCAGGCCTGTAGATGGTGCTGTTCTCACAGAATCTGCCCTTGCAAAAACAGAGCTAAAAAATGTCAAATTGAGCAAAATGAGGCATGGCTAAAATGCATGATCTGTTTGGTATTTTGAAAAAAAAAAAGTATAAATATGCCTTATATAGGTATGGTCCTATACTATATTATTCAAATATAGCATGATAGGTCCACTTTAAGTACAATATCTGAGTACTTCTGCTTTTACTCAAGTACAAGACCTGAGTACTTCTACTTTTACTCAAATACAAGACCTGAGTACTTCTACTTTTACTCAAGAACAAGACCTGAGTACTTCTCCTTTTACTCAAGTACAAGATCTGTGTACTTCACCTCTGCTGATAAACAGAGGGAGGAGCTGCAGAGAGGGAAGTGGAAGTGATGAAGCCAGACTCCATTTTACTAGGGGTGGGCGATACCACAAAATCTGGATTCGATCCGATACCAAGTATTTCAGGGCCAGTATCGCCGATATCGATACAGATACCGATACTTTTTAAAATGAAAAGCGTCTTATGTACTTTCAAATAGGGGAGAGCTGCATGACATGATTTTTGAGCTGAAAGCATCATAAATAGACTAAATCTGAATTCATTTTCATGAATAAAGACAAGACCGTTTTTATAGACAAATAAACGTTTTACTTTTGCAAATTTAAAGTGCAAACATGAAAAATAACAATACAAAGTGGCCACAGTAGCGAACTGCCTTCTTGCACACATCACAGTTCGCTAAGTTTTCATTGCCAGTTGTAAAATAGCTCCACACAACGCTCCTCTTTCTCTCAGCCATCATGCGCGTGTGTGTGTCGCACTCGCGAGTCGCTGGCTGCTGCTGTCCAGCCCTGCTGGCTGCTGTCAGTCAGCTTGATAATCGGCGTTCAGGCAGGGAGCGCGCTGCGCGTGCGCGAGCCTCGAGGAGAGGAGGACAGCAGTGGAGAGAGAAGAAAAGAGCGCATATACTTGTGTTCGTCTGCACATAGTTGTTGATGAAATTGACGAGTAGAGGAGAGGGGGGGGGGGGAAAGTATAAAAGTATCGATCCTATTGGCTCTAGTATCGATATTTTGAAACGTAACGTAATATCGGAAGTATCGATATTTTGGGATCGATCCGCCCACCCCTACATTTTACACTTCGACAGAGCACGAGCAACAGGGTGAGTGTTGATTAAAACCAGTCTCTGCTGGGTTTTGTTGATAATTTGTGATCTTCTCGCTCCCAGGAAAGAAACTTAAAATAACGAGACTAATGGAGTCTCTGAAAAGGTTCAAATGGGTAGTTTAATTAAGTAACGTGGTTAAAGAACAAGCATGGTGAATGGAGAGACAAAGCCGGTGTTGTCTTGAGGGAGGCTGCAGCGAAGGGAAGAGAGTGAGTTATCTTTCGTCCTGCCTTTTTATCCACGTCTCGTTGTCCCCCGCTGTGCAAATAGTGGGTGGCCCCCTACTCATTTGCCGGTTCGATATCGCGAGAGCACAGATGATTTCGACATTGATATTCTCTGCCTACTTCCTTAAGCATTTTCTCCTCATTATCTCTGTCATGACTTTCTATTTAATACCTTATAAACAGCTGTAATACTTAGTTTAGAAGTCCTAGTGGTTCCGCTCCGGCACAGTTCTTATTTTACGGAAATTCCCTCTGACGTCATAGCTTCTCACGTATCTGTAAACACTACGATCAACTAGACCTTCATTTAATATTCAGCAGTAATAATATCTTAACGTCTATCGATGTAGTGTTAAAGTCCGTACGTTTGTGTGTAACACTCCAAGTCATTTTCACTTTACATTCAGAAAACGCAACATTAGTCACAAGCTAACCGGATAAAGGATTTTTCAGAATAAAAGCTTGGCATTGATTTCCTGAGAACTTCCGGGCTTTTCCACAATAAAACAGCTTTAAACTGACGATATGTTTTAGACTGAATTATGCTGTTTAACATTGATTTTAATTTCTAACAATCCCTCCTTTCACACCATTTAAGGTGTGAACACAATACTAAAAGTAATAAGTTCTTCATCTGACTGCTTTTAAACTGACGGTATGTTTTAGACTAAATCATGCCATAAAACATTGAATTTTAATTTCTAACAATCCCTCCTTTCACACCTTTTAAGGTGTGAACACAATACTGAAATCAATGAGTTCTTCATCTGAACTTTGCATAGTACATAACTCATATCAAAAACATACTATCAAAATGGAATGGTTCAAATAACCGTCATCAAAAATACAAACAATACATTGGTTGGTCTTCTGGTGTAAAAGTTTTCCCTTGTGCATAACTTTTAGTTTTAACATTCAATATCACTTTTTTAAAATAGCAGCAACTTGTGGTATTAGAACATTTCTTACTCCCTCCTTTCACAGAAACCGTTCCCATACCACATTCAGTGTTAAGGCACTTGTTTTACAAAGTATAAAAACATACTATTTAAAAATCGCATCACTAATAACAGTATAAAACATAAAAGTTAGAAACCTTTTTTGAATAGTGCAAAGTAATACCACTTTGTAGCTGGTTCTTCATTCTAATGATTTCATCATTTGAAATATATTTCATCATTTGAAATATCACATGATTTGGACATTCTTTGAACAATCTCATCATTTATCATCCATATCATTTAACATCATTTACACACTGTCTTCATTTTCATCAATATCTGTATATGGGTTGAGTCGTCTTGTTCTGCTAACAATTGAAACTGTTCCCTTATGAGAAATGTACCCTCCCCCCTTTCATACTTTTTAAAGTATGAAAGTAATATGTTCTCTAGAAAAGGCTGTGGTGATCAATCGGTATGTTAGGGTGCGGGTACATGGAATGCAACTCCAACATCTAGCACTCCCCTGGGCCCCCCTATGCTATCCTTGTACACTGTCGAGCCTAAACTCCCTCCTTTGACTGGTCTCTTAGCCCTACTGGTTTTGGGGCGTTTCGCCATGTTGATTAACTGCCCCACTGTCATTGGTACTGCATATAAAACATCACTGGCTGTACAAGTGCACAGGTCCCAGTCTAATCCTGTAGCAAGACTGCATACAAGGGTTTAGTTCCATGATACCATCAAACATCTACTCTGGGATACGGCATTTCAGACAGTCATTTCTGGGAGAAGATTTTGGTCAGTTACAACAATTGGAGAATTTCATCACTTATGGTTCCTACTTCAGTACCTTTGGGTGGTCCGTTCTAATGCAGTGATAAAGTTCCTTAAATGGTGTGAAAACCGGTGGAATATCAATAACTCATTTCACTAATTTATCTTCAATTCTAGTCTGTTTAAAGAACTATGCTAACCCCTTTAACAGTGTGTGGAACCTTGGGTGTCCGAGCATGTAACAGTTACTCCCTCCTCTATCAAGGATTTTAAAAACAGTAGTTATTTCATCCATGGTTTGTAGTTCAATTTAGGAATTTTCACTTATGGCGGATATGTTTCTACTTTAAATAACATCTCTAAATTTCAGGTCATCCCTGATTAAATGGATGACCATCAGGAGGTGGTGGCGCTTGTCTTTTAAACTCATAATTTGGTGCCGTGCGCTCCCTGTGAAGCTACAAGTAAGATTTAAAACAACTGCTGGGTGGGTTGAGTGACCCCTTCTCTCTAAACGATATGGGTTGTCAAAAATATGCATCATTGCAATGAGTGATCCAAGGCCCCGCATGTATTACTCCCAATTATATTGCTTTTTCCAAAATTAAATTTGCAATCGCTCTTTGCCCAGTGTCCTTTAAAACTCTACATCTTGGACAAACAAATGTTATTTCCACCTTAACAGTTCTCCTATGGTAATAACTATGCTACAATGGCGAAAACAATACTTTAGATTGGGATACTATATTTGGCTTGGTATTAGCTCTCCCTTTAACATTGTCCAACTAACACAGATTTGTCTGTTCTTATAGAGTGGTCACTAAAACTATCCCTTTAGCTGGAGATCAATATTGTAACACATTAGATCTCTACCAAATTCACCCATGAATAAAATCTTTTAGGGAATAATTCATTTACATGATGGAAAGATTGAAAAATATGTTCTACTCCTAAGTCCCACAACACTCACTGCTTAAAGTGTAAAGTGTGGTGAATATTTCCATCATGTCTAGCCCTTTATCTCACAGTACCCTCAGTGTGTTTTAGGATTATTTCCTCATTTTACTTTAACAGTTTCCTCTTTTTATTACTATTTTAATTTACCAATTTATTAATTCATGGCTAATAAATCTTTTTTTTTTGTCTTTACGTATTTATCAAGTCAATTCAAGTTTGTTTGTGAATAAGTGTGTTTATGTATAAACTCACTCACTCCCGTTTTCTTTTTCTCCTCCTCTTGTTGTCTCAAGCCACGACCCCCTCACATTCTGTTAGACCATGCCAACTCCTCTGGTTCCGTCTTCTCCTCAGTCCATCAGCTCTTAAATCCTTTCGCTGGTACTCTTTTCAGTGGCCCAACTGCTTTGCATTTCATCTCCTTCTTTACAGTCTCTTCGCTGTTGTATGGAGGGCGTATTCTGCTTTCATGTCCCACACTCTGCTCTTGTGCCAAATCTCGTGGCTCAGCTTGGAACTTCATGTCCTGGGTTAGGGACTGATGAGAGTATGCCTCTTTATGTCAGCATGCTGTTCTGGTTCTGGATGCCGCAGGTGGAGAAGGTTCTGGATGCAGTCTTGTCGTTGTTGGTTCAGCTCTGGTTCTCTGTCTGTTCGATGGAGGAGGAGGAGGAGGAGGAGTCTCCTGTAGTGAGGTCTTTTGTCTGATAGGGGTCGTAGCAGTCTGACAGGCAGAGAGAGAGAGAGAGTCCAGGTCTCGGGACGCATTACCTATGGAAATTCTAACACACTGAGGTAAAGTAAATCTAACCTTCTCCACTCTATCTTCTAATCATACTATCTGTTTTAAATGTTAAATGCCATCTAAACACAATTAATGTCTACTAATAAATGTACTATATCTCTAAACATTGTTTTTTCTCCCACTGTAACACATCTACTCCAAATAACTCTTTCAGGAAACCATTTTCTTCTATAAATTGAAATACTTACATGTTTCAAGCACCACATGTTTCACACACTATAAAAGGACGTCTCCATATATTCTCCAATATGTTAAATCTCACTATTACTTAGAACAATAGTAACTTTTGTGACTGGATACATCTGTGCACAGTCGCCACAATCTGTTGGGGAATTTTGTTCATAGAGTTTGTACATACAGTTGTCCTCGTGGGTTAGTACCCTGTTTCTACTGTAATAACTTTTCAATAATTTTGCTCAGGTCACCAGTCGGTTGTCCATAGTCTTAACGGGGGTGTTTCTGGTACAGACTAAAACATGGATCCAGTGTATTTGGAGATTCCCCTAAATTGTAAATTCCCATCACTTAAATATTCCGATCACTTAAACCCATCTCATCATTTGATACAAGAACTGCATATAGGGGGGGTGAATGATCTTGATTGTAACCTCCTCATCTTTGGGAACGAGTATTTCTAACTCCTCCTCTTGTTGCTCAACTGATCTTTTGGCTCTGGGGATAAGTGAAAGTCTCTGAAACACAGCTGGTGTTTTGTTAGTGATGTGGGCATTTTCTACGAGTGAACTAATGGATCCATGTCTTTCATGATATTGTACTCCCCATCCAACCAGAAAGGTGCCAAGTGTAATGAGCACAATCAACAATGCTATTCTGACTCTTATCCCTAGGGGACCCCATAATTGCTTTGGCTTTGTTCTTGACATTTTATCCATGGTTGTGTCAGTTATAAAATGTAAATGAGTACAAAAATAACGTATACGAAAATGGAAACAAAACGTTGGACTCTTTTTCAGGTGAAAAAACAAAATAGGTTTTCACTTTAGTGTACAATCTATAAAAATCTAAAGACAATTCGTCTCTTGAGCTGTTGATCTTAATCGTATTTCTATTTATTGTTTTTGTTCCAGCTCTGCCAAATCAGTCCTAGCTTCCAATAACTTTTCTGGAAGTTGCCAGTGAAGGGTGACAATGTGTGAGGTGGTGTCAATTTGCTCCTTTTTCTTTACCTTTAAACCGGAGCGCGTGGGAAGTTCTTTACAACTTGTCACGGTTCCGACCACCGGGGATCAGCCCACTGTGTTTTGGGAACTTTCACCCTCACCCAAT